CAGCAGCACTGGCTCAGCTGTTTGTGAGCTACCGGGGCTGCTGCTTGTGCATGTGTCAGAATGATTAGAGAGGAGAAGGGAAGCAGCTCGGTCCAGCCGTTAATCAGACCCAAGAGGGTCATGAGCAGAGGGGGACTGCAGATGCAAGGCTTCGGAGACGTACACATCCATCTACTTTTATTATTTAATTATTTGCATGAAAGCTCCACGCACTTTACAAAGAGGTCATCTGTGGATGCCATCAGTATCAATATGGTGTGATTGGGCTTGGACAATCACACCATATTGACAGTGCAAGCCAAACAAGCCACTCTGGTACTGAGGTTAACTGTGGTACTTTGACACAATGCTAACCTCTTACATTAGCTGAGGGTCAGAGCAGGCTGAGTGAGGCTAATGCTCCCCATTATTCATGATTCTGCTGTAAGCTAATGGGCCTGGAGCTACATGACCACAGCGTTCACACTGTCACCATGTCAGCATGTTACTGTCCTTCATGTGGCAGCTTGTTGCTTCAGACTGAATGGTGGAGTGTGTGTTTTGTGGTATTTTATCACAATTTATTTCTGAGGTCATCCATAGCAACAACAGAGCGCAACTCTTCAGCTATGTTGGAATCATTTTTAGGCTGACATTGTAAACCAAAGTGAAAGACGGTCATTTTCAGAGTTTCTAAGTGATACATTTCACAAAAATGTATGTTTTTAAAATGCAGCTTGACCATGATTGACCACAATCTTTAGCTCAACCTGCTGTTTTGTGATGGTTTATTTATCTTCAAATTAAAAACTTCCAGACCCCAATTCATTATTTAGTTATTCTTTATCCAGTAGCCCATTTATCTTATATTAACTAACCTAACTTTTTTTTTTAAACTTTTTTTTAACTATAAAGAGTATGCAACAAGTTTTCCTTATTTAGTTACAGAAAGCATTCATCAACTCTGAGAGCTTAATCCCAACTTGCAGGCCAATTTCAGATGTCAGCATAGTGGTATGATTTATGACTTATATATATAACTTTGATACAGTTAGACAAAGCTTTATTCTTATGTAATCTCTGTTTTGCAAGCATGTTTACCTTTTCTTCCCAACAATCTCTGCTTTGTAATTGTTTTATGGTGAATTAGATTTGGGATAACTGACACTGGCTTGTCTATACCTTTACTGCACAGACATGTTTTTTTTTTTTTTTACATTCTGTATGTTGTTCTTTTATTGCTATTTTTAATCAAACTTGTGTGTTCTTTATTTGTGTTTCTTGCTCAGGTTCTGAGACTATTAGTATCGCAGTAGGTAAAGAAATCGATTAGATTTAAGCCTGAGTCCCTTATGGAGAGTAACTACCACAGATCTAATTCCTGAGCTTCGGTGAGGAAACATGTTTCATGGTTTTTCAGATCTTTCAGTCCTGCTGTGTTGCTGTCTGGTCTCAGAGCTCAGTCAGCACACATTTGATCCATGCAAACCTGCTACAGAAATACAGACCATTTCCAAATCATGCACTGACCATCACTCCTTGTTTTCAGGGATAATATAATAAAATATAGTGGCTCATTTCCTGAGCTGTACGGCCATTACTCCAGCAGTCTTCAGCCTTTAGTACAATATTTTTAGGTCTGTTGCAGGCATTAAATTCTCATTCATGAAAATATAATTGAGTCTTTCAGACACATAGTAACTCTTTGTAACTGTAACAATAGTTATAATAATAATAAAGATATTTTGTACTAAGATCCCCAACTTTATAGAGAAAACAGTGTCATAAAGAAATAAATCTGAATCAATCTGAGGATGGTAGTTTGAAACTAAGGTGCTAATCAGCCAGGCATCAGCCTTCCTCATATTGTATTACTGTATCTTTTTGGTGTCTTTTTTCCCTCCCTGCTGGAGCACACACACGACGCAGCATGCCAGATGGTTAGTCCTGCTGACCTGTTCTCCCTGATTTTCTATTTCTAGCATAACCAGGCAAAGAGGCCTATTGTTTGCACTGTATGGCATTAAGCTTAATCCACAAGCTTCCCCTGCGAATTCCAGCTGTTCCCACTGGACCACATTCCAGATACACCGGATGTATACAGATGTTACCTTGATTTGTTGTCCTCAAACAATCAGAAAGCATTTCACCTTTAGAGCTCTTTAAAAAGGTCTAAAATGTTCTACTTTTAAGGTGTTCCTTCACTGCAGCCAAAGCCCTCCTTGGCCTGTGTGTGTGTTTCTGGGAACACTGGTCCTCAGCGTTATAAACCCCGAGTCATGCAGAGAGGCCCAGACGATGAGCTCGGCAGTGAGCCGGGAGGAGCAGTGGAGTGTGGAGACTTGGCTTTCAGTTGTACTGATGCATGCACTCGCCCCTGGCCAGAGTTCCTGGGTCATTTCTTTCTGCTGTTGTCTTGCTAACACTATATTTGAAGGGATGAGCATAAGACTGGCATGACACATTCATAAAATGACATAACACCTGTTAGAAACATGAAGAAGTCTTCATGGATGGTTATGACTTGTCATGAAGTGTCATTCAGTAAATAATGACACTTTTAATGCAAAGTTGCACTAAAAGTTGCACCAAAAGTCTATCAAAAGTGTCAACTTTGCATTAATTGGTAAATAATGACACTTTTAATGCAAAGTTGTGTTACAACTTTCACTGAAATCCATTAAAAGTGTCAACATGGACGTGGAACGATTATATTTGCGCACACCTTTCATACAAACCCCAGGCCACCAGGGGACGCCCATCCCACTACAGTATACTGTACGTCACGCCCCTTCCAGCCAGGGTGTCCCTCACCTCCCTCCATCCTCCATTTTGCTTTTCCGAAACAGTCGTAGAGACAGCGCCACTCCTTTCTGCAGACAAAGACGTTCCAATTTACACCCAGGAAATTTTAACCATTTGACAATCTTTGTAGTTATTTAGTAAATAATCATTCAAATGTATAGTTGCTCCTCGCATATGGATACAAAAGTCAGACATTGGAAACAGTTGAATTGAGACATCAACATTGCTGTTCAAGCACGGCAACAAACTTCATGAAACACTGCACAGAGCTCTGTCGAAATACTTTGACACACTTTTCCTCCTCTGCTGTCAAAGAGAGGAGCAGGAATCCTCCTTGTGAAGGAGATGATGCAACTTTGTCACTCAACTCCGTCGGAGAGAGCTGATTTCAACACTTTGAATGAAGAATGGGAGAACCTTCAGTCCTCCTCTATGAGAAGGAATGTCAACACACTCACTATGTGAGTGAAGCTTCATCATCACTGTGTCACCCGGCTAATAAGCCAAAGTCTTGACCTTTCATGAAACACAAAAAGTCGTTGCTAATATTTTGATCTGACCCTGCTTCTGCCTTCATGAAGTTCTAACTCAGAGCCCCACGAGACGTTTTAGCATTTAGTCAGTCAGGATGCACTGAATGCCTCAAGTCATTTATTTTTGAAGCCAGCTTTGCAAAGTCTTAGAGCTGCATATGAACTCCGATAAAACGTCCGATGGATTGGGAATCTACCAAGAAAGCAAATCCATCTTTTGTGTCTCCACTAGCAAAAACAAATGAGTCAGGGGCTCCTCTGTTGTTTCTTGGCTTTGTGTGTCAGCTCTGGTTGGAAACTGGGTGGGGCGCTTCTCAGAACTGGGTCAAACAGATTTATGTCTTGACCTAGCCAATTGGAGCTAATAGCAGATTAGGGGGCGTCCACATCCACAAAACTGTTTGCTCACCCATGACCCCTGAGGCAGGACTGAAGGAACAGCACTTCCCACTGTGAGTGCACACTCTCCCTATAATCATATAGCATATTTTTGAGTGGCAAACAGAATGAAAATGATGAATTAAGCAACCAGCATGTTTATTCCTGATTGGAAGCATTAAAATGAAGGAAGGACGTTTGTGTGTGAATCTGAGTCCTTTGTTTTGAGCATAGAAAAAGAAAACAGTTATCAGACTCTGTAGTAGATTAATTTTCTATTAATCCAGTATTACATGTTAGTTCTTGACGATAGAATAGAATAGAAATATTCTTTATTGTCCAATTCAGATGTAGCAGCTGCAGAGTGGCAGTAAGTTCACTCAAAGATAAAAGCATAAAAAATATATAACATTAAGAATAACTTACTGTACAGTAAGGACACAGTTGGAACATAAAATGTAAACATCCATCACGTTCCTGGTCAGCATGAAAAATGTACTAAAGGAATCCCCTCACATCCCTGGAGCCCCAAATATTTGGGAGCCACCCAGGAGTCTGTGGGTTGAAACTGGAGCGCTGCTCTTGTTTTCTAATGTCATCTTCTCCATTTTAGCTCTAACAGGAGACGCGTCCTCACATCACCGACTCGTCTCCTGTGTCTGCCGTGTTTGGGTTTTGTAGCTGTCGGCCATTTGATCCACTGGAAGAGATTTTAATTAGGTTCTATGCTGTGTCTAAAGCTTCTTTCTACTCTTTTTTTTTTTTTTTTCCTTTTTTTTTCATCTGCCTTCTTCCGAGCCTTCAGCTATACCAGTTAATCTAATCTGAGCTCCTTGGTCTCTGCTGTTTTATACCCTCAAGTTCTAATCAGGTCATTTTTTTGAGCCTTCTGCTGTATAAATTCTCCCAAATTGCATGTAAGGATTCAAATTTAGAAAGACATCTTCCCAGTTGTTGACTACCGCTTAATATTCCCAGGACATATAGATTCAATATTTGCTCTGTTTTTCTAAAAGGTTGCTAGTGCACATACTTTCCTGGACTCGGAGGGGAGAGCGTGGTCCATTCAAAAATCTCAGAGTCAGCTGTTGTAGGAGTTGCCTCGTTTTGCAGGGAGGCATTGTTTCCTTGTGGGAATGCATGTTTTCATTCACAGGATGTCTGCAGATGTTGCTAAATCTACTCACTTCTTTTTTTTTTTTTTCCCACACCTCAAGTTCGACTCCACCGTAAGAAAGAAAAAGGAAAAGCTGATTTTGCGACTGGAGAACACAAAAGTCATTGTTCTGTCTTTTCTTTCTAAAGGTATTGGCAAAAACGTCATATGTGATAGGACTGCCACTCCTCTGGATGCCTTCCGAATGATGTCAGCTGCTCAGTACTACCCTAAGCTGCTCAGCATTATGGGAAATGTGCTGCGTTTCTTGCCGGCCTTTGTTCGAATGAAGGAACTTCTGGAGGAAGGGTACATCGGAGAACTTCTAGTCTGTGAGGCCCAGGTATGATGAAGAAACATTTGTTTGCTGCTGGACAATGAGTCGTTTCTGTTGTTGTCACATTGGTCATATTTACATTTCTCAGTTAGAGAAATGTAAAGGATTCTAATTTTACTTATTTTATGACTCATTCTTGGGTTTCTTTGCAGTAAGAAATTGAAGCAATAGCAAAAACCTTGACATATGTTTCTGTTTTGTTGTTACTAAGGTCCACAGTGGCAGTCTCCTGGGGAAGAAATACAACTGGAGCTGTGACGACCTGATGGGAGGCGGTGGACTGCATTCGGTGGGCAGCTACATCATTGACCTCCTCACATTTCTGACCGGTCAGCGTGCGGTCAAGGTGCACGGCTTCCTGAAGACTTTCGTCAAACAGACGGACCACATCCGGGGCATCCGTCAGATAACCAGCGACGACTTCTGCACGTTCCAGATGGTGTTAGAAGGAGGTGCTTGCTGCACTGTCACCCTCAACTTCAACGTCCCTGGAGAGTTTCGCCAGGAAGTGATTGTCGTGGGAACCGTCGGGAGGTTAATGGTCACTGGCACGGACCTGTACGGACAGAAGAACAGTGGCGGGGGGGGAAGTGGTGGCGGACCTGAACTCCTGCTCAAAGACACCACTCCTCTTGAGAAGGCCTCCTTGCCAGAAAAGGCCTTCAGTGACATTCCGTCCCCGTACCTCACCGGGACAATCCGCATGATCCAGGCTGTGCGGCAGGCCTTCCAAGACCAGGATGACCGGCGAACCTGGGATGGAAGGCCCTTGACAATGGCTGCCACTTTTGAGGACTGCCTATATGCTCTTTGCGTGGTGGATACAATCAAGAAGTCCAACCAGTGTGGAGAATGGCAGAACATTGTGGTGATGAAGGAAGAGCCGGAGGTCAGCCCTGCCTATTTGATCAGTGAGGCCATGCGACGCAGTAGGATGTCACTCTACTGTTAACATCTGGCTGATGTATAGGAGGACCGAGGCCTGGGCCTTCAAAGTTCTTTCATAGAACTGCTGGATTTAATTTATCTCATCTCTAGTTTTATTTAAATGTGCGCTATTACTGTTACAGAGACTTTAAGCCAATGTGCTGCAGATGTCTGTGGTTTCGCTGCCTCAGCAACAAGGGGGAAAGCTAGGTTCTTAACAATCAAATCTGTATTTATAAAAAATCTCCATCTGTTTTTTTAGTTTACATTTGATAAGGGACTCAAGTCCTTCTGCTAGATGTACATGTAAACCAGACTAATTCACAAAAGAATGACATTAGAAGCGTATCGGGAAACGAAACTACTTGCTAGTTAGCTGATCAGTCGGTAATGACAACCTGTCAGAAACCTGCTTCTGATCATTCCGTTCAACAAGATCACACTTCTGAGTCCTGATGCTTATTACCATCCTGCTAGCTGCTTTATCAAACAAGTATTGTGCATCCTTTCCCTGCATTCTTTCAACAACTTCATGACTAGGAGTGGAAACACAATACCTTCAACTGTGGGTCCGAACAAGAGCAGCCAAGGAAGAATGAAATCGTCGCTGTTCTCTGAAGTCCTTGCTAGTTTTACCAAGTCAACTTTCGAAAAGTCAGTGCGCTCTACAGTCTCTATCTGTTTACTGTGTATTCCAACATTTGTGTGTGAAACAACAGGAAAAAATAATACATTGGCTGGAGGATAACTCAGAGGCTTTAACATTCTGGTTAATGTATGCAATTAAAACGACCGCAGCCTTAAATAAAGGGTTAGTCCACACCTTACACATTTTATGCCTTTATGCAGTTGGCTGTGCATTAGCCTTTTATTTCTGTACGGGTGATCAGTAGTGATACTTGGATGTTTAGTTAATTTATTGCTTTTACTTTCTGTCCATAGGTGTAGTATGCTGCTAATGCTAAGCTAACCTTAACTGTTGCTGCAAGCAAGTATAATCCTGTTCAACATGCCTAAAATTACAGTAAAATTTAACCGTCAGCCATTGACAACATAAACAAATCCCTGAGGCTCTAGTTGGGTACGGTGGGGTTTAGACTGCTTTTCAATGTCATTAGGTCCCATGTAACCATAACAGCTAACAGTGTTAATTTTTCAGACTGTCCCACTTTGAACTTTACGTTCCTGAGATGTCAAAGAGGCTTAATCTGTGTTTTATCTTGAACAACGTTAGTCTTTTTTTATTACCTTATTGCTCTTGCTCTTTTGCTGTATTTCATTTGTACCTGGAAGTCAGAACTTCTGAGTTCCAAGTTCAAGAAATCAACCAGGGCGCTCCCTCAGTCACAACTTTGACTGAAAATTCTCTAGATTTTGTAACCAAT